TGTAATGATACTTTCGAAGCCTACTTCATTTGAATATAAGTACTGTTTCTAGAAACGAGGACCAAGATGGAGTGGCCTTTTGTATGATCGCAGTCTCCTTTAGCTGAATAGCATTGGTTTGATTTTGCTTTCGCAAACTTATCGGTCCGACAAAAGGACCTAGTCCTGCGTCTTCTGCCAGACTATTGGTGACGATTTCCAGCATCGGACCGTTCACATGGTACATTACCAAGGTCTACCTGTCGCTCCAACACTATGCAGCTAAAAAAAGACTGCGACTAAGCAAAAAGCCACACCATCTTGGTCGTACCATCGACAAGATACGAGTTGTTGAGGCTTGTTCACCCGAAATCGCATTCAAAAAGCTAATTATAAACGAAATTAGGATTCAATTTTGCCTCAAAATGAAACATCCCATCATGCCAAATCTAATTTATATCATTTTGGAAAGATGCATATATCAGCTCGCCCGTGTTCATACGTCAACACGTCTGAAAAAGGACAGGACGTATGTGGTCGCGGGACCTTAAGCGCTGTTCGTGAAGTCTAGCATGTGTGCACATGTAAAAATGGATCATGAGATGCACTGTCCTTAGGCTTGTGGATTGACCGCAGGCTGGTCCTCGAGGAAAATGGTATCGAATTCGGCACAAAAGGAGGCTATGATAAAATAAGAGTTCTATTCAGTCTAGATAGAACAAGGCCTCATAGGAATGATAGTTGGATTTTTCACACAGTTATATGAGACAACTTCCACAATCCGTCGTCACCTTATGCCACTTGGAATTCAGGATTGCATGGAAGTCTCAAAACATTTTCTAACAGACTGTATGCTACACTGAAGTCAGATGTGAGTCTGAGGATGTGAATCGAAGGAAGAGTAGAAAATGGATTCGGACTCACCGCCGGACAGGATCTCGGTTTCTGGTAGCGTCTGCTTGTGCTCATCGCCCTCGAGTCCCACAGGTTTGGGGTCCTCGGCAGCCTCGTCCGAGGGCCTATGAGACAGGCCCGATCCGGCCGGCCTCACCAGCCTGGGCATGGCAAAGGCCTCCTGCCTCGGAAGAGAAAGACGCTCATTCGTGGAATTCGAGGCCCGCTTCTCCTTCAGCAGGTCGACTGCCCTCGACGACCTGAGGCCGGTCAACCATGCGTGCTCAGACGCAAACGGTTTCTGAGTCAGGCCGGTGCCTCCGAGTCCCAAGTTGTCGGAGGGGAGACTTTCCCATCTGGACGTTTTTTGGCCGCCGAGAGTGAGGTCGAGTGCCCGTGGGCAGATCGGCTCGGTACCTATTTCACCGGTCCACTCCTCCGACCTGTCGGTCCGACACGGTCCCTCTTCCACGAAGGGTCGAAGTGGCGTCGGTTCAGAGCTCGAGCCCCCGCGGGTCCAATCATCCACGGAGGCACCGTCACTTGCGGCTCGATTCGGACGGCGCAAGCGACTGCGACGCTGACGGAACTCGTTTAGGAGACAGTCGACCCCGAGGCTCAGACCAGTCTGTGCCGAGAGACGCTGTGTCTTCTGAGAACTCTCGTCCAGACAGGAGTTTGCAGGCCCGGCATAGAGTGAACTGGAAGAAGATGACCAGAATGGAGGAATTGATGAGAGCAACGTGCCTTTACTACATTCACCGAAGCAGTGGCTTGGGTTTATTTGGTAGAAGATCAAACCATTTGTCTGCTACGAAATGAGATGTGACACCAATTTGATCTTTATATCTGCGATAAAACTGAATAGACTGGGAGCTTATCAATAATTACTCGTAATCATGCGACATACTCTATTCTTACTTCAAGCCAGCAATCACATTTTATTCTTGAATAAAATAAGTTATCGCAACTCGGTAGGAAGACTTAAAGAAACGCACCTAGTCCGGAGTCCCTTGTATGCATCATCGTTTCCAGAATAGGACTGTGGACGTGGTACCTTCCCAGACGTTTCGCCGGCATCGTAGTCGGCATCGTCAGTGAGTATCGCCATTCT